GTGTGTGTGTGTGTGTGTGTGTGTGTGTGTGTGTGTGTGTGTGTGTGTTAGACATGAAGTTGAAGGAGTTTCTCCTCCATGGGGTTGGTGGAGTTCAGAGTCTTCCTTGTTGAACCACCTCCATGCACAGATCTGACCCTGGGACGGACCCAGATCCTGCTGGTGGAACCATCCCTTGTTGCGTCGGAACAGTTTGAGGATGCTGGTGCAGTAAGTGGGTGGTCACACTGGGGTGAGTGGGGTGTTGGTTCCCATACTGGACCTGTTGGACCTGTTGCCACGCTGACCCAACCGGGATGGATGGATTATAAATCAGCCCTATAAGGAAAGAAAACAACCCTTTAAATACACGCTATTCTATTTTTGATAGAATTTTACTGCATCTGTGCATGTTGTTTTCATTTAAGTTTATCACTGCTTCTTAATCCCATCATATTAATTTTTTTAATTGTGTAACAATGTCTGTGTGTTACTTTAACAGAAGAAGAGTTTATTGTTTTTGCAGTAAAGCAGACCTACATGACAATAAATAACTTTAAATCATTTATACAGAACATCCACTCATTTTCTAAAACAGCTCAGCTTTGTTCAGGTCATAGGACCAACATTTCTAAGAGTAATTTTAAAATCATCAGTTTCTGGAGAGGAACCAGGTTGTCTTCTGATTAGATTATAATCCAGGGGTTTCTTGTTGTGAGCTGAGGCCAACATGTTAAGGAAATTTTACTTTTTATACACTGCCCAGACAAAAAAAAAAGTCTCCACCTGGATTTAATGAGCTATGATGTGGGGTTGCTGCAGCTGGTCAGGTCTAGGTTCAGCAACAGTTTGTGCTCAAAGAATGAGGTCAGCTGACTACCTGAATATACTGAACGACCAGGTTATTCCATCAATGGACTTTTTCATTCCTGGTGACATTTTTTTTTTTTTGTGGTGGGGCAGTGTAGCTCCAATTACCAGTTTGTGTGATGAGATAAGAAGTGAGAATGTGTTGGATGAGAGCATTGTTTCTTTTAGTTGAAGTCAAGAAGGAAGTGTAGAGAGAGCTCCATTTAAGATCTGAACAGAAGCAGCCTCTGCTCCTCTGCATCAAAAGGAGTCAGATGAGGTGGTTCAAGCATCAGAGGATGTTTCCTGGATGTCTCCCTTTAGAGGATTTCAGGCAGGAGACATCGAGGCACTCAGGATTCAATGGCCTGGGAACACTTTGGGCTCCCCCAGAACCACGAATAAGTGGAAGAAAATGGATAGTTGATGGATAGATGTAGCTGTGACCTTTAAATGAAAGCAACAGATTGGTCTTACTTGATGTTTTACCTCGACTTTGTCCATCTGCTGTATTTGCTTGAGGGCTTGATTTACAACAAAAGATGAAGATTTGACAGACAGAGAAGCAAGTAAAACATGCAGGGCTGCGGCCCTCGAGGACCAGGATTGCCCACCCCTGCTTTAAACAAATAAACTCTTTCCAGTAATGTGGGCTTACACCTCATCAGAAAGTAGTAAAGTAAGGTATCTGGAAAACATACACTTATTGGGACTCTCCAAACCAGGGGTGGGCAATCCTGGTCCTGGAGGGCCGCAGCCCTACATGTTTTACTTGCTTCTTTGCTCCAACACACCTGATATGAATGAATATATGATTATCAGGCTTATTGCAGTATGGAGGACCGTAACTGACATAATTAGAAATAAAAGCAGAATTATATAAATGAACCACTAAATAAATACATTTAAAATGTACCAATTAAAATAACAAAGGAGAACTTTATCTCATGTTTTTTTGTTTGAAATGACTTGAATATTTATTTTTCCAGGTTAGTATAAATTAGTCCATCTATTTTAACACATAATTTAAATTTTACTGTTTTTTAATGTACATATTTTTTTGTTTTTCCTTTAAATTCTACATGCATTTGTGTCTCTTAAATATTTATACTTAATTATTTTTATATTTTTCCCACAAGTCTTTAAATTTTAGTTTAAAACAACGGCAAGGAGAAAAACTTACCCGTGCCTTTGTTTTTAACTAAACAAACTTTAAGCTAAACTGAGGCAGCACACACCTGCAACACATCGAAATAACAAAAGGCTTGTGGGACAAAACTATAAAAATATTTCAATTTAAACATTTAAGAGACAAATGTATGTACAAGTAAAAAGTAAAACTGAAAAAAAAAATAAAAACAGTCAAATTTGAATTGTGTTAAAAAATATCAATTAAACGAGAATTAAATTATAAAACATGAGGTGAAGTTCTTTTTTAATTGAATTGGTACATTTTAAGTGTATTTATTTATTTAGTGGTTTATTTACATATTTCTGCTTTTATTTATAATTATGTCAGTTTTGGTCCTCCATACAGCAGAACTTGGAAGGTAAATCAGTGACTGAATCAGGTGTGTTGGGGTCAGGAAAAACGTAAAACATGTGGGGCTGCGGCCCTCGAGGACCAGGATTGCCCACCCCTGCTCTAAACTTTGAAGCTACTGTCCTGGTAAAGCTTTTGGTTAATTGTATGTGCCCATACAGCCCTGACACAGGGTCGAGATTAAAGTCAGAGAAGCTGCACAAAAAATGACTGATGACAGGTTTGTGTACCTGAGAAATACTCGTCTCTGATTGGCTTAAGGCTGCTGGAGGTCATTTCTACAAATAATTTCGCGGAGCTGAAACAAGTGCTACAAAATGTAATTTATTTTTTTGCTACAAAATGTAAGTGTTCGTTTTGTTTGTTGATTTCACGCTGTGACTGGACGTCATGAAAAGGAGGAGGAGGTGCTCTGCGCTGCTCCAAGATCTCGCGAGATTTGGGATGAAACAGCGGATTAAAAAAAAAAAAAAGGTGGATCCCCTCCCTCTCTCCCATTCTCGGAGCCGCACAGGTAACCAGCAGGTACCGAAGCGTAGGACCGCTGCGGCTTCTCCGGTTAGCTTTTCTACCCAGAGACACCTCCCGTCACCGAGCGTCCGGAGCCTCGGCGCACCCCTCCCTCCCCGCTCCTCCCCGTCACAGATCACCGGGCTCAGGTTCACCGCCTCAGCAGCTCCTCTCTACCGGCATTTTTCCCACCAGCAGCCGTCCTTCGAAGATGATACCTGCTGCAGTCATGTCCTTATCCGTGGTGATATTTGGGACGCTGATGCTGCAGTCTGTTTCCTCCCAGAGCGGTAAGTGTCTTCTTAAAGAAAAATACCATTATATTAAAAAAAATGCGGATTTAAGTGCAGATCGACGTCTAAATTGGCTCATACGTGATATTTTTTTAATAAGAAGAAATGCTAGTGTTTTTTTTAATGAATCGCTGCTGCAGCAAAGATCCCTGCGCCAATATAAATCAAATAAAACGTTATTATTATTTTTGTTTCCCCAGCTTTGAAATGAGGGGCCAATAAATGATTAATGGGCTACAATCTGTTTTCTGTAGTGGGCCAAAAAACGGAGGCCTTTAGGCGTCCCTAAAAAATGTCCTTATTTGAAGTGTGGGGCTGAATACTGAGTGCAGCAGGGAGGACAAGTTCAGCTCATTAGTTTTAGTGAAACGGGTTAGAGGAGCAGGGAAACTGTGCCACACTGTTTAACACCCTCCTCACATGCCCATACATGTTTGCATTTAGTGCTGCTCAGGAATTTTATTTATTTATTTTTTTATTATTGGTTTCATCTGCTGTGTGCCTCAGTGCAGGCTGGAACAGAGCTCATCATCATGTAGGCCCTTGTAATCAGATGTAGGGCTCCTCTGTAAATAGCATCAGTCCATTTTGCTGCATGCTTCTATATTTAGAGCACAGAGATGCTGCACTGGGCTTTAATGTCCCTCACTCCTTCACAGAGAAGATGTTCTCTCTGCACTGCAGAATAACAACCGGTTCTCCCGGCTCGGTTCTGTCTGCTTATAAATCTCATCTCCCACAGATCAGGCAGCCCCCCTCTCCCAGCTTTAAGTGTGAAATGTTGCTCTTTGCAGGCAGAGTGTGAGAATGAGTTAGAGGCTTTGGCCTCCCCCCTGGACTGGACTGTGTGTGTGTGGGACTGCATTACACATCTTCCTGCCCCACACGCCCACTCCTAACATCTCCTCAGTCAGAGGAATGGTTGATAAAGAGCAGACTTATTATAAATTAGCAACTAATCTAACAGTCTTGTCTTATAGCACACCTGTCAGTATTTCTTTGATCTTTTTGTCATTTTTGTACAAAATAGGGAAATAATGCAGAGGCAGTTGTATAGTTTGTTCATATAATGGCCTATTTCTAATAAGATGCTGTGTAGTTGTGTATTACTCTAAAAATAAAACATCTTTAAAATGGTGTGTAAAAGTTGTAAATAGTATCTTGCCTGCAGCACATTGAATAGTTTAATTCTGACCAGACTGATGAGCTAATTGTTAGTTTATGTGGAGCCAAAGTTGTTAGCTGTCATCTTAAAATGACCCCCAATTTTAAAATGTTCATAGATCTATCTATCTATCTATCTATCTATCTATCTATCTGTCTATCTGTCTATCTGTCTATCTGTCTATCTGTCTATCTATCATCTGTCTATCATCTGTCTCTCTCTTTTTTCTTTTTTTTCTTTTTTTCTTTCTTTTTTCTTTTTTCTTTCTTTTTTCTTTCTTTCTTTCTTTTCTTTTTTCTGTCTGTCTGTCTGTCTGTCTGTCTGTCTGTCTGTCTGTCTGTCTGTCTGTCTGTCTGTCTTTCTTTTGTCTTTCTTTCTTTTGTCTTTCTTTCTTTCTTTCTTTTGTCTGTCTTTCTTTCTTTCTTTCTTTCTGTCTTTCTTTCTTTCTTTTGTCTTTCTTTCTTTCTTTTGTCTGTCTTTCTTTTTGTCTGTCTTTCTTTCTTTCTTTCTTTCTG